ATGGTGTACACGGACCATAAACCTCTAGAACATTTGTTTACTAGTGAAATGAAAAACCCCAGAATCCAAAGATGGGCAATCATTTTAGGAGAATACGCATTCAAAACTGAATACATATCTGGTTCCAAAAACGTAGCCGCAGACATGCTCTCGCGCCTTCATAACACCCAAATTACCGGCGATCTAGAGGACAACAAGCGCCTGTACTGGAGGCGTGAGCGCACAAATATTAACGTAGTTAATAACGCCACCACTGTCCTTAACGAATCTGAAGACTTCGGAAATGAAGAGACAAAATCGCTAATTTATCACAAGTTTGAGCTAGATGAACTGAGAAAAACTCAAAGGGCTCAAGAAGATTTGGAACAAATCATTTCTCAGATTAAAGAAAACCCTCACCTTCATACCAAATATTGTCTGGAAAATGAACTGCTGTATCATATAGGAGTAGGAACAAAAACAAGGCCACAATTACGCATGCAGCTAGTCATGCCCCCGGAGTTCCAGAAAATAGTACTGGAAGATGCTCACGACGAATTTTTGGAGGTCATATAGGAATTGAAAAGACCACCGACAAAATCGCGAAATCGTACTTTTGGCCAACCATGCTAAAAGACATTGTCCAATACGTCCAAACATGTGAGACATGCCATCGAAAGAAATTGCGAAAGGAAACACGACTCATGGAGGACATGTCCATGCCTCCAGCGCCTTTAGAAATAATAGAAATAGATTTGTGTGGACCGTTCCCACTCACACAGAAGGGCTACATGTACGAATGTACAACTGTAGACCACATGAGTGGATGGCCCGAAGCCTGGGCAATTCCGGATAAAATGGCGGCCACTTAAGCACAAATCATGCTTGAAGAATTCGTACCTCGCCATGGCTGTCCACGAGCAATTATCAGTGATCAAGGAACAGAATTCTGTAACTCCCTGCTGAACATTGTTAATAAAGAACTCGGTATTTCCAGAATACGAACATCTAGTTATCATGCGCAATCAGACGGTAAAACTGAGAGATTTCATTGATGCATAAATGAGATGATCGCAAACAAATTAGTGAAAATCAGGATAAGTGGGACCAACATTTTGCAGCCATGCCTCGCCGCCTGCCGAGTTAGCAAATTGAGTCAACCAAATACTTCCCATCTTTCATTCTGTACGGTCGCGATCCTGTTCTCCCAGTAGATACCCTGTTACAACCCCGTCTTCGTTACACAGGAGAGGAGTATGTGCCCGTCATGTTCGAGAACCTACATAACGCTTTCACCACAGGTCACCCAAAACATGCAACAGTCTCGAGACTACAACAAAACATTGATAGATAGGACCGCTGAATCATTACAGTTCAAGCCAGGAGATCCAGTCCTTCTATTACGGAACCCGACAGTAAAACTGGTGACCACAAAATTCACGCTATACTGGGAAGCCATACTATAGAGTTGTGTCCAAATGGGAGAAGAAATTTTTATCAAAAACATGATATCCGGTAAGTCAAAACAGTGCGCTCAGAAACTAACTTGCCCATTAGTGAACCGGATGACGTCTGGAATAGGCCATACGACACAGTCAGGCCAAAACCAATACAAGTAGGTGTCAGACCAGAAGAAGAAACGCCACTACGGCAAACAGTCCATGCGCGCAGCAAAATTTTTCCTTTCCCTTCGGCCGATCAATATGGTACGTACAGGAGTCACCATCAGGATTCTCCGGCCACTTTGGAACAAACATCACAAATCAACCTAATGAAGCAGAAGAAGCAGAAGTAAGACGGTAGAGGGGTGTATAGAATACGGAGTGTAGTAAGAGGAGGGAAGATTAGGCAGAAACGAGAATGTAGAGAGGACGCCACAGAAACCGCAAGGGGAAGAAAAGACACCCCTTGACCGTCCGTTCACAGGTAAGTATTAGCCCCCACTGAACCCTGCTCACCACTATACCCACCGGATAATGGGCGAAAGTGGAAGGTTTAGTACGAGCCCCATGGAGATAGACACGTTATAACCTTCCGTTCCCCCAGACACCACATCGGCCAATGGACACGTCTGTTCACGATGGGTATGGATCCGCTCAGCCGGGCGACTGGCGAATGAGACGAAAAAAGACGAAACGACGGTTCTAGTGCAGCGCCAGAACAGACATGACGGGACAAAACGACAAGGGTGCAATTGATTATTCAATGTTTCGCCCGAACGAGGGTAAACATTGCGAGTGTTGACATACCATCGCAACCACGTGAAAACCACGGGTCATTCTGAATGCAATGTTCCGTGTCCGCCAAATTGGTTTCTCCGACGTGCCTAGTGTGGTGCATTTGCGTTGCTCTGGTTAACGTTTCCCACCTGGGGTTTAACACCCATGTTTGTTATGTCAGGACCAGAACCATGCACATAAGGACAAGGCCAGGTCGTATAGGCTGGCTCATAAGCGTGCTAAGCGCATCCCCTGATCATCCCAATGACCCGGAACATTTTTTATTCCATTAGGTAAAACGCACACGAGATGCAACTCCTGGGCCAGAACTTTCAACAAGCAGGACTTCTTACCGCCGACAGATGGGAACGATCAAAAGAGTCACCAAAAGATTGCGGACACTATCAAAAAATATATCAAGCATCATGGCAACCGCTCCCACCCAAACTATGCTGTGTTAAAAATGTCCATTAACCACATGTCCAATCAGTGCTGAAACAGTTGAAACGCGAACAATCGGACATCTCTCACACGTTTATGGACATTCTCAACCCACCAGACATGAAAACAACAAAACGCGCGAAGCGCGGGTTGATCAATGGCGTGGGTCAGTGTAATGTCTTACCTATTCGGAAACCGGAACAGAAAAAGAAATCACGCATCTAACCGAAAAACGTGCAGATTATCAATGCAAAGGAGAGATGGCATTGGCCACACATCATGATGTTACTGGTTAGTGCTGTGTGAGGCCGCCCCTGCTCGCGCCGCCAGCGCTGCCTGCACCTTGGTAAGCCGCCGCCCGACCGGCGGGTGTACAGCCTGGCGCCGTCCGCGGGGTCAGCGCCCTGCTCGCCTCGCGGGTCAATACAGTGCCGTCCCTCAGCGCTCGTGTCTGGTCTGGGCAGACAAAACACGTAAAACTTGAATAGGGCGCAGCCGCATTGAACCTATAGTAAGCTTAAGCAAGCGTGAGCAGCACATTAATTTAAGCAGGGAGTTGAACCAAGTCGAGATGCCTGGATTTCGTCCTCCTGAGGAATTCGACTTCACATCGCCTGAGAGGTGGCCGACCTGGCGTGATCGGTTCGTCCGCTACAGACTGGCATCGGGACTACACAAAGAGGACGGTGACGATCAAGTAGCTGCGATTTACAGTATGGTCCGCGGGCTGAGCATGTCGTACCAACATTAAAGATTACTGCTGAGCAGAAGGAGGATTTTGGAGTTGTTGTCTCAAAGCTAGACGGGTACTTATTCCGAAAGGATTTTATTGCAGAGCGTCACAACTTCGAGCTTAGATCTCAAAGTTCAGGCGAGACTAATGAATCGTACATCAGAGCTTTGTTCCCTCTAGCTGAGCACTGCAGCTTCGCTGACGCTGATGAGCGTATCAGAGAGATCATCTCTCTCAGGAATGTCTGACAGAGAGCTGTTCCGTAGAATTCAACTGAAGTCACTAGAGCAGGAAGTGTCTGTAAATACCGTCATTACACGCTGTAGGGGTTCGTCTGCTTGCTGCGCCTTGCTGATCTCCACCAGACGCTGCGGTGTGGCGGGAAGATCGCTGAAGATTCTCTCGCAGAATCCATGTATGTCTTCTTGAAGCACAGCGCCGATTTCATCCTGCTTCTGCAGCGGGTGACGTGAGAGGAAGTCGGGCACCAGGTGCTGCTTCCCTGGGACGAAGACTGCTGTGGCATTGTATCGCATCAAGCGCATGAGCGTGCGCTGGCATCTGATCGGCGCATCCACGAAATTTTTCGTGTTAACCAGCAGGATCAGAGGTTTGTGGTCCAGATGCAGCTCGAACGACGGCAGTTCGGACAGGAACATGTGCATTTTCTCGCACGTCCACGTCGCGGAGAGTAGTTCCGTCTCGATCTGGGCCCATCTGGTCTCGGTGTCAGTCAGGCTTCTGCTGCAGAACGCGACGGGTTTGAAGACGGAGCCGTGCTTCTGGAGGGCACATCCTCCGATGCCGAAACTACTGGCGTCGGCCCTGACCGTTGTCTGTCGTGCTGGATCGTAGAACGCCAGAACTGGAGCTGAAGTGACGGCTGCCTTCACGTCATCCAGCGCCTGCTGCTGTGGTGTCCAGATCCATGCTACGTTCTTCCTCAGAAGCTCGTTCAGTGGTCTCAAGTACTCCTGGATGTGTGGACGAACCTGCCCAGGAAGTTGATTACTCCGAGCAGAGACCTTAGGTCATTGACATTTTTGGTGGTTGGAGCTGCTGGATCGCTTCGAGCCTCTCTTCGTCCATGCTGATGCCGTTCTTGCTGATCTTCATCCCCAGAAACTTGACCTCGTTCTTCCGGAACCCGCACTTTTTCCTGTTCAGCTTGAGGCCAGACTCGTGGATCCTCCTGATGACGGCTTCGAGACGTGCATCGTGACTGGCAGCATTTCCGAACACCACGGTGTCGTCCATGTAGACGATGACTCCGGGCAGTCCATCCAGCATCTCCTCGATCTTCCGCTGGAAGCACTCCGGTGCGAGCGAGATCCCCATCGGCAGTCGCAGCAGAAACCTCTTCCTGCCGAACGGAGTGATGAACATGGTCATCTTGGAGCTCGCCTCGTCCAGCGGGGTCTGGCAGATTCCGGAAGAGGCGTCCAGCTTGGTGAAGAGCGTCGCGCCACTCAGCCTGGAGGTCTGGTGCTCCAGAGTAGGGATCGGGAACACCTGTCGCTTC